AAATGGTTAAAATCAAGGTGTGGCCAAAGAATACTGAAAAATATTCAGACCTATTGTCATAGGTCATTGTTTTCTACCAAATGCACTCTAAAAACCTAGTGATGTAGTGATGACATCTCTGGGTTACACACCTGCATTGAGTAGTTTGCTCCAACTTTCACAAGGTTCTTGACGAGCTCAGCAGTGTGCTGGAAGTGGATATTGGCTGGGAGTAAAAAGAGAAAAATGTCAGCAAGATTCAGCCTGAATCATAACTGGAAAAAAAAACAGACAATCAGATTCTGGGAGAATGGAAATGCCTCAACAAATCCGACATGCATGGTTAATCAGGGAATGTTTTCCTCTGGAAATCCCAGCATCAATTTAGATAACCCACTTTTCCATTTATCTTTTGATTAAAAAGCATTTGCCTCATTACCTTCCAGGATTGCATGCCTCTTTGTGCTCAGCAGTGATGCACCACAGATAGCGTATTTTCATTTTTATCTACGATTTATTTTGCTTCTTACCATCTGCTGTGCCATGCACCAGCATCACTGTCTGTTCCCTAAGAGCTTGAACATTCTGCAGCACACTGGAAAACTGCGAGAAAGAGTGGGGAGATAATTAATTGATAGATATGCTAACTGGCATTGAGAAATGAAAATAAAAAAAAGATGCAGAATGTGATCAAATGAATGGCACTGTACTAAATTACATTCTACAAACAGACACACACCGACAGAGTCATTCAAATTAATTCGACATCTTTAAGTGATAAGGCATCTCCCACAGATATTTTCTGTTCTTGAAATATCACAGATTGCATAAATTATGAGGAAAATGTAAGGTGTGGTACAGCAGAAGCCGTGAAATACTTGTCAGGGTCAGATTTGTTGTTTGTGCTTGTGCAAAAAAATGTTTTGTTCTTCTTCACTGCCTCCTTCCTATCACACTGGGAGGAAAGTACATCTGATAGCTGAACATCAAGAGGCCTGAGAGCGACAGTCTCGCTGCGGCTGAAACCCCCCCCCCCAAACTTCGGCATGTGATCTGACACACCGGAGTTCAGAGTAACCAAAGACAGATGAGTGACAAAATCCTACAGAGCATTAAAAAAGAAAAAAAGAAAAAGTAAAGCAAAGCATCGCTGCCTCTGACTTTGATAGCAGCTGCTTTCAGTAACTGCAGGAGCTTAACTGTAGGTGTGTCACTGATGTTAACGTTTTCAAAGATCAACAGGAAACATGCTCGTGGAAGCAGTAAACACGCACCTGATATCTGCTGTCATCCCGTAATGGCATGCCGAGGTATCGTTCAGAGAACGCTGACGCTGTGCAAATGAGAAGTGAGACAATCTTAACAGTGCCACCAGCACACAGTGCTTCAGCTGCAGCTAAGTACCTGCACAAAGTGGAGATCCTGTTATTCAGGGTCCAAATTAAATACTTTTAGCAGCTTGTGGTGGTGAAAAAGTCATCTGTGTCACCTCAGTGCTGCAGAGGACAATGTTTACAGTGGTCAGATTCATCTCACACTCAGGTTCCAGAAATAAACAGGTCATTTTTAGTGAGAGGCTAAAGGAGAAGAATAAAGTTTACATTTAGTCAGTTTATTAATAAATGATCTAGGTTTACTTTATCACTTTACTGTGTACTTTAATTGGTTGAATTGCCCGTTAATCATCAGATGTTGCAGACATGAGCTATGTCTTTTTCATTTGCTTCAGACAGTTAGAAATACAGATTCGTTTTTGGCTGTCATTGACATATTGAGCACTGCTCAATATGGAGAAGTAAGTTTTGCTTTTGGGTGTAGACATGAGTCTAAATTGTTACACATGAGATGCATAATTCATGTTTGGGAAAATATACTGGGGTTTTAATGAATAAAGATGATGATGCAATATGGTGATGATCAGGACCAACTGTTTCATGATTGTCTAAAAATGCTCTATTCTGGTAAACTCATAGGAGCTATTAAAGCTGGGAGCTCACACAGTGCAAATGACAACAAGGGGAGTACAATCACAAAGCACGGAAATAAGAAAAAGCAGGAGACAAGACACAGGTGAAAACAATCAGGGAATTAGAGGGAAGACAGAGACAACATCTCTACTTTCCTTGCCATTTTTCCTTGGCCTTCACGAGAAACTTCATGAGACCAAGGAGGAGTGATAAAGTGATAAAGACTAAGAGAAAGAGAAACTCATTGTGGACAGAGTCCAACCACACTAGGGATAAATCTGTTCT